CTGACAGATGATCTAACAGGTGTTCATAACAACTATATAAGAGGATTTATTTATGACCAGCCACAGCCGCAGCACTGTAAATCAGCTCCAGCAGCTGCACACCGCTGAAACCAAGTCCCCGATGGAGGCAAGGCGCGAGAGCCCAAAGAACACAATTCACTCCAGAATCTTAATCATCAAATAACATTTTTTTTAGGTAATTACACCACAGCACAGAAATCATAATTACTTTCAATTAGAAAACTGAGCTGCCCGTAACTTTGTTTACAAAATATTTTTATGTAGGCCCCGTGGTTTTGATGAGGCCTGAGCAAAATGGAGGCTCTGGGGTCACGGAAAGAGTGCCCTTGGGTGTTGGCGACTTCAGTGGGATGCCGGTATGAGGCCCTCTGAGGACGGCTTCATTTTGTCGGCCAAAAATCAAAACTTAAGTTGGGAGGGGACTTGGTCTCCCCAAAAGTCTGCATTAACTTCCCCGGGACAGTGTGTTTGGGTTCGCACCTCACCCTTTGTTGTCATTCCTAACTTTACACAGTTTACTAACAAAGGGAATAAAGCATGTAACAATGAACTCATCAGAAATGGGGAATTTAAATTTAGGCTGAGGGGCCCATCTTTATACAACCCTTTTTAGTTACTTTGCAAAGGCAAAATTTAGTATTTTTCTTTTTGTAGGCCACGGTCTTGACAATTCCTTACTGTTATCCATGGAGATGGTTGACCCTACTGTAAAACAAGTCTTCGCATCCATCACACTGCTTAAAGAAGAAACAAACCCTCCCCCCACCCCCAAGTTGGTTCTTACATGGGTGAGAAGATGCTCTTCTAGGAGGAACAAATCCAGAATCTTGGTTGAGCTACAGTTTGAGAGCTAATCTATCTTCCCTCCCTCCCTCTCATATTATGAAACAACCCCCTTGGCAACCCCTCCCAGGCCAGTTAATGAGAAGGGTGTGGGCAAGGTGGGGCCTCCCTGTTCTCTCCAAGCCCATGTGCAGCATCTGCAGTCTTCACGGGTTTACATGAATGAGCCTACTGGCAAAATTATCTACTGGTTAGGCTTTCCAAACATCTCTAGATCTGAGAATATTCTTCTACACTGGGGCACCTGGCTGGCTTAGTCAGTAGAGCATGAGACTCTCGGTCTCGGGGTTGTGAGTTCAAGTCCCACACTGGGCACGGAGATTACTTAATACAATTCTCCACTTCAGCCTTATTTTTGGTGTCTCTGGCGCTCAAGGTTGTAGATGAGAAAGCAGTGTTTTAGAAGGTCATTAAAGACAAGTTTGAGTCTGTTGTAATAATTCCATGTTTCAGTTCTGAGGGGCTTGGGTCTTCAGTGTACACATTTACTGAAGCAGCCAGGAATTACATGTACAAGTGACTATGTACATCAGTTTGACTCCAGAGGAAGACAGACACAAGGGGGAGATTAGGCATCACGTCAACATACAATCACTTAACCAGTAAATAGATACCAATGCAATTTCATATTCTTTAGCTACTTTTAAGTCCAAAAAGACTTTAGAACCTGTAAATAATTCAAAAGCAGAGGAAGTAACTAAAATCCCCAAGGAAATATCTAACACTAGCTTACAAACAGGACAGTAGAACCAACAAAGCTGATTTCTCCTGATCTCTAGTTCACTGGTTCCCAATCTTCTTTATCCTGCCTCCAGTTTCCAAGGGCAGTGCGGCCCCACCCACAGTATGGCAACCATTCGCTTCTCCTCTGACCTACCGCAGCCCCTGAGCTGCAGACCTGGGCAATGGCGTCAGGGAGACAGAAGGGAGAAATGGGGGCACAGAGTGGTGTTTGGGTAAGTTGCTCTCTATACAAAGGTGCATTCTAAGAGACAGCTTCAGTTGAGAACAATCTGTTCTCCCAGAAACTTTTCTCTTCTAAATGCCATCCAGTTTCATTGCCTCAGTGGAACCTTCTCAGACCTCTCTAACCCAGTGAACACTGTGTCCCCCTAAACCCTATAGCTCTTTCTGGTGTGATCTATCACGCAACTGCTTCACAACTCTTTCCAGAAACAATTTCAGCTTTCAAACAGCTATGCTCCAAGTTTGCTGGTCAAGTGATCACGTGAAATCTAAAATATTTTTATTCAAAAAACAATTTCAAATGGTAGTTAACTTACCACGTTAGGGCTTAAAATAGGGCTCAGTCCACAGCACAGTTGAAAAGTGGTAGGAAAGTTACTAAGATAGAAAGAGTAAAGCCTTCATTTAGTTGTGCTGAACGCCATTTGTCGGAAAGTCGCATAAAGAAAGGAGATGGAGACCGTGAAGATCCAGGAACAAACTCCTGGTCCATTTAAGGGCATGCTTTTCTATTAAACACAATTTCCATTCATCTAGAGTATAACACTATCATAAACTTGCTTTTTGGTTTTTTTTTTTTTTGGTTCCTCTAAAACCTCAAGAAGAGAGTGACAGTGATCATGACAACTTTTCTTGAGGTAACTGGTCAAGTTGGAAGGAATGGTAAGGAAAAGGATAAAAAAAAAAGCAAGTATACGGTCCCAAAGTCATCGCCTTTCAGTTAAGCGACCTCCGTCCGACTGACGGAAGAACAAAAGAATTGTGCACGCAGTGGTTGGTCCGGTCAGGTCACCTGAGTGAGGAGGGCGAGGTGGAGGTGAAGAGATGGGTTCAGCAAGACTCCGGGAGCTGAGAGTTCACTTAAAGCCACTGGACTTGGCACCCAAAGTGAGTGGGGCTGGGGGAGGAGGTGGGCCCGTGTTAGTGTGTAAGTGAAGTCTGTTTGCAAACCAGGGCTCACTGACTTAGTGAAGTCCACACTGCCATTTCTTAATCTATTGCCAACTGCATTGTGGTTTCTTGGGGGTAGAGCGCGTATTTTCTCTTTTACTATACCCCTGACAATGGTTACTGCAGTTCTTCACATTTCACCGTGGATGCAGGCTTTAAATAGAGAGGAAACAGTAAGGCTTTGTTAATTTTGCACTGTAACATAGGGCTTTTCTCCCCTCATTATGTGAAAAGAGGCCTTTTCCCTGCTTAAACACATTCCCCTATCATGTTAGAGAGATTAGAGAGAGGACACAAAGAAGGTAAAAGAGCTTAGGTTTTCCTCTAGCTAGCTAAACTTTGCTTTTTAAAACCTCCCTTTATATTATTCATCATTCGGGATTCTTGTCTCCTCTAATGTAGTATCTATCTTCTTAACATGAACCATAGGTTACAAGGGCAAACTTCTCATAAGCTATTATAAAGTTATTCAAATGTTTGCAAATAGTTCCTGGGAAGGGCAAGTATCAAGTATTTTAATTTGGTAAGTTCATTGTTATAGGCTCTTCAGAATAAAAACATTCTCCTTTTCTTATAATAAATAAAGCAAGTGTATTGAGATACCAAAAATGAGGCAATGTGATACCAAAAATGAGGCTCAGTCTGAAATATACTATGAGAGCCATTCTTCAAGATTGGTGTACATAAAATGTCCCATTAAGTGGACATTAAAATGAAAAAATATAGCTAGAATTAAGAATTCAACATTGACTAACTCGACTCAATGGAACAATTTAGAGATAATCATGGATTATGATAAAGTTAAAGGAAGTATGAGGTAAGGAACTCTGAAACACTGTACCAGAAAAGGAAGAAACCCACCCCCTTCACCCCCAAATCTTAAAACTTGGGATTTTGGTCATTTTTCTAATTTCCACTTATAAGAAAAATATTTTAATGATACTAAGCTATTGATGTTAAAATGGCTTCAACTGTTAGCATACCACATTACATTATTTAGTATAGATTTTAAATCTCAAGGTTAGCTATCAAAAATTGATCTTATTCAAAAGTAAAGTTCCACTGAAATTTCCTTAGTTTCCAAATACGTACCTATGAATAACCTGTTTTCAAAGAGAAGTGCCCTCATTTAAGGAAAACAAAAACCTGTCTACACCGCAACATACATTTTCCCTCTGCTTTGAGGCATTGTGTAAATAGGTTTTTCAGAAAACAGGTATTTAGCCTGTCAAACTCTTTATAACATTTCCAAAAGTTGTTGACTGAAAACCCCAAAGTTGTGAAGCAAGCCCCGAGAAACAGGATTATTAACGGAAATGCCAACCGCTCGCAGTAACAGCGTCGCTTCTGGCTGTCGGCACCGCCATTGCCCGAAGGCTCCAGGGCGAGGCCAGACACGTGACTCCTACAGCTCTCCTTCTCACCCAGAGTCACTGCTCTATTCCAAGAGCAGGACAATTTAACCATCTTGTTTGCTCCCCCCAGCTCACAAGCTTGAAAATTTAATTTTTCAGGTCTGTTTTATTCAATGTGTATTTTCTAAGAATGGGTTTTTTTTTTCTCTTTATATATGTTCTATGGTGTTTCCGCCAATATATATTCTCTTTTTACTTTTTAAAAATCGTTATGTGGCTTTAAAGAAAGGGAACTGACTAGCAAATACTCTCTATTACCTTATATCAGAAAGGTAAATAAAATTTCAATTGGTTTTAAAAAGGTATAAAAGACTTAGAAAAAAGTGTCCTGGTTATAGAACAATCTTCCTAAAAAACAGTGACTTGCCTAAGTCAGCAAACAAAATAAACACTGCAGGGAAAAGAATATGTTGATTATGTAACTGGTTCTTAAAATTTCTACAATTAGGTTTATACTGGTTAGTTTCCAAAGGTATTTCAGTCTGTCTAAGTTGGGCATCAAGATTTGTAAAGGAGCAATGAGATAAAAAGAATTTATTCAGCAGGTGTAATTCACCTTATAATCTGATCCCTACTAATCAAGATTGCACAGAAAGAGACATTTGATGTTACAACACGATGATTTTTGCTGTTGTTATTAAATATATCTACTTGAGTTTGAAAGTGGGTTTTTTTTTTCACTAACTAAACCCCATTGATTGCTTCTTTGCAGAATATAACACTCAAACCATTTAACTTTAAAGAAATATCAGCCTATGAACTTTGGGATTACACATAGTTTCTCATTAAAAATGCAAAGACACATGTTATTCATATGCTAGTTTATTATTCAGAGATGATTTCATGATGAGCATTGTCAATAACCAATTACAATACCAGGAAATTCACAGAACAAAATTCTGCAGAGATCTTGTTGTTTTTGTATTTAATTCTAAAAAGTGTGCTACCCCAATTTTCAGAAACCAAGCTGAGAGGCCATTTAGACTATTTCTAGGCTGATTTTTGCTTACACTGGGAGGGAGGATGATTTCCAATGAACTTAAAATACCCAATTCATGTCCATCGTGGTGAAAAAAGGGAAGGGGAGAAGGCCAGAAGAAGTAGCAGGACAGAGAAAATGCCACATGGATTCAAGAGTTGAGAAAACTGACAGTAAAATATATGTTCTTTGGTTAGCAAAGCGAAAAGGGGGCAAGTACTGCATACATGATAGATACACACCAGCATTCTAAAGCAGGAGACAAGAATGTCAAGAGTGTATTCTTCCCCCGCTGCCAGATGGAAGGGCTATTATTATAAATGAAAGGCAGCAGTAGTGGATGCCAGGCACTTTTGTTGTGTGCCAGATTCTGAAGTCCAGATGTAAGCAGGTTACCCCTGGGACAGGACGGGCTTCAGCTCCCGCAGCAGAACAGAACCGATCACGGTTCTCTCAGTGTTGATGATAAGCTGGGCTGTAGAGCCTTCCTTCAGCTCCACTGTGACGAGCATCAACGACCCACTGTGCACAGTTTTAGCTGCAAACCTGAAGATAAAAAAAGAGAGACCTTTTGTCATGAGGGGGGTGGGGGAAAGGAGATGGAACAGATTCAAATAGGTTTAAAATAATTGTTTTCTCAGTAATTTCTTACAGGCTCCCTACTGCCAAAAACCCAAAGCCAAGCATGCTTCTGAAAAATCAATAAACTGCCCAGCACCATGCTTACCACAGGCAGGTAATTTTAGTGCATTGTTAGAACGGAACAAGAAAAGGAAGTCAATTTACTTATTACTTTGGACAACAGGTATATGTGAATAATCCTCCATTAATATATATTTGGGAATCATTCATTTGATATTTAAACATTCCACCATGCATGGGGCCATTTAAAATAAACCACTGTATTTTTATTTTTAAAACATATTAAGAAAAGGTACTTTTGTCAAAGAGCTTGAAATTTTAATTCCTCATATGTGAAAATGATTATGCAAGAAGTTAGGTAATTTTATGGACATTATAAAACTCATATTGTTTCAAAAATTCATGCATGCATGTTAAAATATTCAAATTCAATCTCTAATGTTGATGATGACATGTAACAAAATCACAGGACAGCCAGGTACAACACCACACACCCTCTTTTTAGATTTTTTTTTAATGTTCAGGATGTTAGATACTTCTTTTTGCTTTAGAACAGAGGAAACTTGAGGTCTAAGGCTCCATTACTAAATTCCAAGACATGAAGAATCTACTAATTACATGGAATTAAAAGCAAAACTAGCCTTTTAAGCACTGCAATTGACTGAGAAGCCGTTGGAGGCACAATGAATTTGTGTCAATCCTGCTAACTCATTCCGCATGCACAGTTGAGCCGCAGAGACGTTAAGGAAGAGGACGGTACCCTCCTAGGCCTCCATTCTCCACACGGAGCCTGTTCCACACATTTTGGGGAGGGGGAGGGGGTTCGATTGCAGGGATGACTGGAGAAAAACAAAGTTGCCGCACATGAGCTTTTGAAAACACTAACAAGTGTAGAGCAGGTCTGTGACCTGCTGTGACCCCACTTGGCAGGGCCAATCCCCTTTCCCCTTTCTGTATGACACGTGTCTGAATCTGAGCCATCTGCCTCAATTTGCGCAACATCTTCAGCCACAATGGCACCCAGTTAGCCCTGACAACAGCTCACAATACATAAAAATAAAACTGCCGCGCTGACAGCACGCTGCGGACTATTCAAGAGCAAACCAACTGGTCAGTGTCTCATGTCTGACAATTAGCATGGGCCTTGCGCAGAGCCCGCGGTGTCCTCAGGGATCTGTTTAATTACCATCAACATAAAAGAGGGAGTTTATCAGGAGACACTCAGAAAAACTTCACTCCCAACTTAATTAAAATATTAGCCACTTAAGCAGGAAGCAGATTCTCTTTAAATGAAAAGTAATTTCTTTTTTGAGTTTTAAAAAAATGACATCAAGATCTTATGACACATTCGATTCTTTTTTTTCGAAACCTAACAAGCCATTTTTGACCTAAACAGAATCATGAAAATCAGTTTCCCAACGATAATCAGAATAATGACTCAAAAGCAAAACAAACATGCTAATTTTATGTAATTCAAAATATTATCAACACTTTCAGGTTGCATCTTAAAATGTGAGCTGGTGGGTTGTTGATAAAGTATGTTAGAAGCCTTCCCAGTCATTTATTTGTGTATTTTCTACAAACATGGAAAGCTACTCTCTCCAAACACACTGAAGACTGGTAAGGAGTCCAACAGAGCAGTTTTTCTACTTGAGAGAAGCAACTGTAAGTAACCAGTTTAGGAAGAGAAATTATACCAGTGTTTTTAAAGATATTTTGTAAAGCTCTCATACTATACACATCTGTGTGCTCTTCAGATGTCCACACAAGACAGAAGGAACTGCGTACCTCATTCCATCTTCTAGAGAACACAAATATCACCAGCCCCCAGAGGTCCCTCTTTCCTATCACCCCTTACAAGTTTATGCATTTCTTTTGTCCACATTTTTGAGGTTCTTCTGCTTCACAGGAGAATCCTGTTTCTGTATTTCCGTTAAACCTTGTCTGTCTGTTAAACCGAATGATACTAGGTGGCTCTACTGTCCTACTCATTTATGTAACTTTTTCCCCCCACAGATTTGGTCATCACCAAGTCTTCATTCAACACATATTTCAACAGAGATCCCTATTTCTGACAGGCTTATAATTACGTAAACAATAGTCTTATTAGTCCCTTTATTTACTTAACACTTGTGCCTTGGGACTGCAGGGAAGGAGATTATGTCTGAATAGGGACACAAAAGCACTTGAATTTCAGGGTTGCACAGCCCCAAGGCACAGTTTATCTCTTTTCTATTAAAAACTTAGAGTCGATGGTACAGTAATGTAAACTCAGCAGAGACAAACGTCAATTTTGACGTCAGTATGTTTAAAGAGATTAAAATTAGTGTCTTGTACATGTTTTTGAAATCCTGTTACCACAAAATTCTCAATACTATAAAGAATAGGGGCATGAAAGAAAAGAGGTCTTTGCTTACACTACAGTGGAAACATGCTAAGCAAATCATCCTAGCAATAATATCTGTTCGCTGGTGTAAAAGCTACTGCCTTTAACTAGGTCTCTCTGTGCTAGTGGGCACAAATGGTGAAAGCCATGTTTTAAAGCAGAAGACTAGAAGATCAGATGTTCTGACATTCTCATTTCACAGTTCAAAAAGGATGTATTTAATTGGAACACAGCATGATTACAACTGGTTTGTTTTGGTCCATGAAAAGCAAAGCCACCCCCCAAAATTTATTAATCGCTTAATGCCCAAACAGGATATGCTTTAAAAATACACCGAAAGACAGTTATGGAAAGAACACCAATTAATAAATAACACACAGCTAGCTTTGGGATATAAGACATATTGATTATAAAGACAGCTTGGGTCAAACACTTCTATGCTAAATTTAATGGCCGACAGCAGAACCTCTGTACTTAACCTCAAACGAAGATGACACTGTGACCAAACTTTTTCAGAAGGTATGTGAAGTTTCTGGATCACCATAGCCATCATTGCAGCTGTCATTTATTAAGTGCTTTGTGTCACGGGCACTCGTTTGATTATTCGAGGCAGATCACTTTATAGATGAGGGAACTGAGGCCCACAGAAGTTAAGAAACTTGCTCATGGGCACATAGCTAGTGAATGGTCAAGCAGGAACCTGAACCCAAGTATTCTGATTCTGGATTATACACATTCTCAAATATGCAAAATGCACGGATAAATTAAGGTTTTTCTTATTTACCTAATATGTATATAATCTATTACTGTTCCAAAAGTTTGAAGAGGGAAGATTTTTCCCTTCAAAATTGTGAACTTGAATTTGCACCATTATGGAATTCAAAGCATCCTGACTTGGTGCTTTATCATAATAACTTTTTTTTCCATTAAATTTTTTATTGTTATGTTAATATATTACATCATTAGTTTTTATCATAACTTTTTAATTTCTGCTTTTAAAGATTTAAAAAATTTTAAACACCCCCCACCTCCCACGCCCTCAAAAGACACACCGGCAATGAAAAATATAAAACCTTCCTGAATGGGGCTGTAACACAGGGAGGGACTTCTGGGAGGCCAACCAACCTCAAACACCAGTAACACCACAAATGAGAACAAATAAGAGGATGACAGTTAAAGATGTATTGCCTATGTATGACGGGCTCCATGTTATTAAAAGGATACCATCTAGGTATTTTTCATAATTTTTCATTTTTCATTCCACCACCAAGCACTGGCTGTTTGTAATCACCAACTGAGAAGGTAAAACTGTTTAGATATATCTGTATTTCATTTCATTACATATTTTTTGTCTATTATCTCTAGCAACTGACATTTAATTTTTGAAGCTTGTAAGAATTCTCAAGATTAAAGAAAAAGACAAAATAAGCTGCTTGCCAAACCTAAATGAAGATACTACTTTTCTAAAAAAGTTAATTTGTCTTAACTACTGACAGAATTATGAAAAAAGCTCAGATCACAACAACAAATTTGTATAAATTTACTATCTACAATACATGGCCTTATTCCCTCATGCACTTAAACCACACTTTTTTTTTAGATTTATGAGAAGCTGGCTATGGACCATAAATGTTCTTTGTCAGAAGGAAAAGAAATTCTACAACTCAATTGTCTGAATAACTGCAATGTTAACAGGACAACATGAATTAAAAAGTTTTATCTGAGAGACTGTATCAATCTCCAGGGTATTCACAAACATAAAAATTTTAAGTAGAATCTTATTTGCTACATTTAATGCAAGAGCTCTAAGACATGCTTTTTCTTCTCTTGGATAGTCTTCCTGGTTTCTGATTTTTCTATTCTGAGTTCAATTTTCTCGTGTTTTCTGTTCTACCGGTTACCAGAAGCTGTGACAATGGCCCACTCAGGCTAAAACTTTTTTTTCCCCCTACTCTGTACATGAAGCCTTCAATTACTGCCTGCTGAAGCAGACAGAATCCTATTAGTAAGAAAGACGATCACAAGATGCAGTGCCCTGCCCTAGCTGTATAAAAATAATTAGCCCAAAGCTGACAAATGTGTAATGAAGTTGCACAATCATTATATGTAAGAAATACTGGTTTGAATAACCATCCTAACATCAAATACCAAAGCATGATGATTTAGAGCATTGTTTTCAAAAAAATTTAAAATGTAAGTCCTTATTACTTTGAGTTAATACAGAACATTTTACACAGAGAATTTGTAAGTTGTAAAAAAAATTCCATTTTGTTGACTATAAAATTGTATTTTAAAGTTCAGCCCATTACCTAACAGAATTAATACTGAGGGGAAAAAATTACATGTGATTCAAGTTTAGGGAATTTGTCCAAAGCAATGTATTTTTCCCTATTATTTAAAAAAAAAAATCAGCCAGCAATATTATAGTATTTTCCTTTAACAATCTGATGAGAAGAGTTAAAAAAAAAATGAGCCACCATCGTAACTTAAGACTCTCTGTATTCTGTTCTAATCTTTA